CATTCCTCATAATATTTGGAATCAGACTTTCCTAGAGCTATTCAGCAAAGAGGAGGCCTAAAATAAAAAGATCCCTGATTTTAGACTGGAAGAGACAAGGATAATTTATTGCCTCACTAAGAGATGTAAGAAACAAATAGAAAACACTGCTGCAATTCCATGAGGTAATTAAATGACAAACAGACATAGACTGCCACCAGTAACCTCCTGAATTTATGTGCACACTTATTAACAAATTTCAATAAAGCACTCAACCAAGCTATTGTGCAAAGTGTGACAAAATAAAAATTAAGTCAATAATGAATGTGTTAAAAAGAATTCAAGATTTTTATTTAATTTAGTATTTTATTTTCCCAATTACATGTGAAAAGAATTTTTAACATTTTTTAAAATTTTGAGTTCCAAATTCTTCCTTCCCTCTCTCCCCTTCCCCCTTCTGAGAAGGCAAGCAATTTCATATGGGTTATACATATGCAGTCAGGCAAAATATAGTTCCTTATTAGTCATGTTATGAAAAAAAAACACAGACCAAAAAAACAACAAAAATAAAGAAAGTTTGAAAAAAGTATGCTTCAATCTGCATTCAGACTCAATCAGCATTTTTCATCCTAAGTCCTTCAGAGTTATATTGGATCATTGTTTTGCTGTGTATAGCTAAATTATTCACAGCTGATCATCATACAATATTATTTCTGTTACTGTGTACAGTGTTCTCCTGGTTCTGCTCACTGCACTCTGCATCAGTTCATGTAAGTCTTTCCAGGTGTCTCTGAGAGCATCCTGCTCATCATTTCTTACAGCACAGTCATATACCACAACTTGTACAGTCATTCCCCAATTGATGGGCATCTCCTCAATTTCCAATTCTTTGCCACCACTAAAAAAGCTGCTATAAGCATTTTTGTACACATAAGTCCTTTTCCTTTTTGCTTTTTGTCTCTTTGGGATACAGACCTAGTAGTGGTACTACTGGGTCAAAAGGTATGCACAGTTTTATAGCCCTTTGGACATAGTTCCAAATTGTTCTCCACACTGGCTGAATTAGTTCACAACTCCACCAACAATGCATAAGTGTCTCAATTTTCCCACATTCTCTTCATTTTCCTTTTCTCTCATATTAGTGAATCTGACAGGTGTGAGGTGGTACCTCAGAATTGTTTTTATTTGCATTTCTCTAATCAATAGTGATTTAGAGCATCTTTTCACATGTTTATAGCTTTGATTACTGCATCTGAAAAGTGCCTGTTCGTATCCTTTGACCATTTATCAACTGGGGAATGACTTGTATTCTTAAAATTTGACTCAGTTCTCTATATATTTGAGAAATGAGGCCTTTATCAGAGAAACTTTTGGTAAACATTTTTTCACAGTTATGATTATTGTGTATTTACCTCCATCCTATTTTCCACATTTATTCTACTTTCTCTCTCCTTTCACTCTGTCCATCTTCAAACGTTTTCCTTCTGACACCACTTCCCCCCAATCCACCCTCCCTTTTATTAGCCCCATCCCATTCATCTCCTATTTTCCTGTAGGATAAAAAAGATTTCTATACCCAAATAAGTGTCTATGTTATTCCCTCTTTCAGAAAACTCCAAGGAGACTAAGGTTCAAGGGCCCCCCCCACCTCCTTCTCCACTGTAAAAGCTCTTTCATGCCTCTTTCATGTGAGATAATTTACCCCATTCTACCTCTCCCTTCCCCTTTCTCCTAATGCATTCCTCTTTCTCATCCCTTAATTTTTTTTAGATATCATCCCATCATATTCAACTCACATTTGTGACATATTCCATATACACCTTCTAACTGTCCTAATAAGAAGTTCTTAAAAGTTACAAGTATCATCTTCCCATCTAGGAATGTAAACAGTTTAACCTTATTGAATCCCTTATGATTTTTCTTTCATTTTACCTTTTTATGCATCTCTTGAGTCTAATTTATATTACAGTCAAATGTTCTAGGCAGCTCTGGTCTTTTCATCAGGAATACTTGAAAGTCCTCTATTTCACTGAATATCTATTTTTTTCCCCGAAGGATTATACCCAGTTTTGCAAGGGAGGCGATTCTTCTTGGTTGTAATCCTAACTCCTTTGCCCTCTGGAATATCATATTCTAAGCCCTCCAATACTGGGAGTTTTCATTTTGGAATCTCTTTCAGGAGATGATTGGTGGATTCTTCCAATTTCTATTTTATCCTCTGGCTCCAGGATATCAGGGCAGTTTTCCTTGATAATTTCTTGAAAGATTATGTCTAGGGGGTAGCTAGGTGGTGCAGTGGATAGGGCACCAGCCCTGGATTCAGGAGGACCTGAGTTCAAGTCCAGCTTCAGACACATAACACTTACTAGATGTGTGACCCTGGGCAAGTCATTACCTACCCCATTACTAGACCAAAAAAAAAAAAAAAAGATGATGTCTAGGCTTTCAGGTAGTACAGTAATTATTAAATTATCTCTTCTTAGTCTATTTTCCACATCTGTTGTTTTTCCAATGAGATAGTTTACATTTTCTTCTATTTTTTCATTCTTTTGATTTTATTTATTGTTTCTTGATGTCTCATGGAGTCATTAGTTTCTACTTGCCCAATTCTAATTTTTAAGGAATTATTTTCTTCAACAAGCTTTTGTGCCTCCTTTTACATCGGGCCAATTCTACTTTTTAAGAAGTTCTTCTCTTCAGTGAATTTTTGAACATCTTTTTCCATTTGGCCAATTCTGCTTTGTAAGGAGTTCTCTTCAGTGGATTTTTGTGCCTCTTTTACCACTGAGTCTATTCTGTTTTTTAAGGTGTTATTTTCTTCAGTATTTTTTATGCTCCTTTACCAAGCTGTTGACTCTTTTTTCATGATTTTCTTGCATCACTCTAATTTTTTTTTCCAATATTTCCTCTACCTCTCTTATTTGATTTTTGAAATCATTTCTGAGTTCTTCTAGGAATTCTTTTTGGGCCTGAGACCAATTCACATTTTTTTTTTTTTTTGAGGCTTTGGATGTAGCAGTTTTGACTTTGTTGTGTTCTAAGTTTGTTTTTTGATATTCCCTGTCACCATAGTAACTTTCTATAGTCAGGGGTTTTCTGGGGTTTGTTTGTTTGGGTTTTTTTATTTTTTATTTTTTGGTCTTATACTCATTTTTCCAGACTATTTCTTGACTTTTAACTTGATGTTAAAATTGGGCTCTGCAAGCCAGAAGAACATGGTACACAGAAACAGCAATACTGTGAGATGATCAACTTTGATAGACTTAACTCTTCTCAGCAATACAATGCTCTAAGACAATTCCAAAAGATTCATGATAGAAAATACTATCCACATCCAGAGAAAGAACTATTGAGTCTGAATGTAGATCGAAGCATACTACTTGACCTTTTGTTGTTGTTTTTTCTTTCTCATGGTTTTTCCGTTTTGTTCTAATTCTTCTTTCGCAACACGACTAATGTGGAAATATGTTAATATGACTATACATATAACCTATATCAGATTGCTTGCAGTCTTGGGAAGAGGAGAAGGGAGGGGAGAAAAGGGAAGGAGGGAAGAGGGGGAAGGAGGGAGGGAGAAAAAAGTTTGGAACTCAAAATCTTATAAAAGTGAATGTTGTAAATTTTCTTTACATGTAATTGGAAAAAAATAAAATACCATTATTAAAAATTTAAAAAAATAAAGTTGGGCTTTGCTCTCAGGATGGAGGGGGCACTGTCCCAAGCTTCAGGGTTTTTTTGCTGCTGTTTTCAGAGCTAGTCCTTGGGGTCTGTAAGATTTCAGTTCTTCCAAGGCGGTATGATCTAAGGAAAGGTGTATTTACCACTCTGTTGGCCTGTGCTCTGGTCTGTAAGAGACCACATGTACCCTTTTCTTACTCTGGAACTGTGACCAGGGTGCCTGCTCCCCTGTAGCTGCAAGCTCCAGTACACTAGTATGCTTCCTCGTGCTGGGACCATGACCCCAGACTGCAATGCAAAAAATCTGTGTATGGGCAATGCAACCAAGTCCTACAACCAGTGCCAACAAAGGGACCTCAATAATCTCCTTCTGACCAGTTGTCCAGCTCCTTTAACATCTGTGAGCTGAGAGCTCCAGAAGCTGCCACTGCTGCCGATTCAGTTTCCCACAAGTCCTGCTGCTATCTTGCCAGGGCATTGCCTGTACTGGTCTGTGCCCCACTCTCACCACAGTGAGACAGAACTTTCCTGCCAACCCTCTACATTCTCTTGGGCTGGAAAATTCTTTCACCCCATCCTTTTGTGGGTTCTGCTGCTCCAGAATTCACTTTGAGGCATTATTTTTAGGTTGTCTGAAGAATATGGGAAAGCTCAGGCAAGTCCCTGCCTTTTCTCTACCACCTTGGCTTCACCCAACCAAGAATTACAAATTTTAAGAGAGAAAAAAAATTCAAATAATTTGCTCCATCCTTTCTTTATACCACAGAGCAAGAATCAAGAACTAGAATCTCAAACTTCCTGATTCTCAGCAGAGCCCAGTAACTAAAGGCTAGTTCCCCCCTTCACTGCTGGCCATGATCCAACTGCTATCTCAGCTATGGCAAAGGAAGGAGATGTGTGCTAAGGAACCCAGAGATATCTGGGAAGGAATAGGAGGCTTTAAAAATTAATGGAGATATTTCCACAGTAATTCAACCCCATTATAAAGAAGATCAAAGATTGAGAGTTGGAGAGGAACTCAGGGGTGACCCCATTTTACTGATAAGTAAACTCAGGCCCAGAGACATTAAGTAACCTGGCCAAGGTCATACAAGTAGTAAGCAGTGGACCTAGGAGTAGAACGCAAGTTCCCTGACTTTAAAAAGTCAGCACTCTTTTCACCGTACTACTCTTGGACTGAAAGAATATAGACGTATTACAGGTAAGGTCTGAAAAAGGAGCTAGGATATTGGAGGAGGGTAGTTGTCCAAAGACAGTTTTTAGATCTCACGGCCAAGTTATGATTTCCAAGACTGCTAAGGTCCATGAAGCTGCCTTCAAAATAGTCATTTACAAGCAAATACCTTGCACTGGAGTAGTAAGGACTTCCTTCTTCTTCAAACCTCCTAAGGATAGGCTCCTTTAAAGCAGCTTCTTCCTCACTGGAGAGCTGAAAGAAAAAGGAACTCAGGTCCCTTCAGTCCATCATACTATGGGGCAGGGGGTCTCTGTTTAAAGACTTTCAAGAACAAAACGGCTACACGCTATAAGTAAAACAAGTTATTGCGCATTAACCCCTCATACCATTTAATTTCTCAATACTCTGATGAACTCACACATCTAATTATAAAAAAATCAACTATGTGAAACTCAACAATATGACAATTTTATCTTATTTGAGGTTTACAGTAATAATAAAAACTTAGATTTATACAACACTAGAAAGTTTTAAAAAATGAATTAAATGTAATCTCACGTGAACCCACAAGCACACAGGTTTACTAAGTTACATAACAAAAATGAAAAAAACTTCTCCTTTTCACTCATTACTTTAATAAAGGATTTCACTATGTTTATCAAAGGAATGAATACATCTTTACACACTACAATTACTACAATAATTAATGATTATATATTATTATTATATATTACATATTACAATAATTGATACATGACTTCCTAAAAATTAGCATTTTTCACAACCTCTTAGCAATTGATTGCAAACAGACATGAAAATGACCTCTTTCTACCCAAGTGCCTGTTTACCTTAACTTTCCACCCAAGAAATTAACACTTGAAGTGCCTACTATATATTAGACAGCTAGCAGGCACAAGGGATGAAAAGCTGAACCTGGAGTCAGAAAATCTGAGTTAAAATCTGGTTTCATATACTTACTAGCTGTGTAACCCCGGGTAAATCACTTAACTTCTATTTGTCTCATTTTCCTCAACTGTAAAATGGGAATAATAAAAGCACCTGCCTCCCAGGGTTGTTGTGAGGATCAAATTAGATAATATTTGTAAAGTATCCATCAAACCTTAAAGCTCTCTTTAAATGCTACCTGTTATTGCTACAAGGAATTGTGCTAGAGGCTGGGGACAGAAAAACAAAATAATCCCTGCCCTCAAGGGGCTTACATTCTATTGGGGGGCACAGCAAACTAATAATAGATAATTTAATATAATTTGAAGACAAAAAACACTAAAGGGGGGAAGGGCCTCAAAAGAAGTTAAGAACTTTCAGAAGTACAAGGAAAGCAGGAGTGCATTCCAGACATGAGAGACAATCTGTGCAAAAGGAAGAGAGTAGGAGATGGGAAGCCAAGGTTGGAGAGCAATGAGGGGGCCAGTCTGACTGAACCAAGGAATGTGCAAAGGAAAATAAGATGGAGTAAGTCTGGAAAGGTAGGCTAGAGACAGACAGTAAAAGGCTTTAAAGCCAAGCATTTGTATTTTATACTAGAAGAAGTGGTATGCTGATAAATGTTTAACAACTCCAAAAATAATTGTGTATACACACACACACACACACACACACACACACGTGCATAAGTTTACTAGAAATTTTAGTGGTGTAAAGGATGCTTACCACACAATTTACAAATAATAGTAAAATATATAATACTCTTTATTGTAAATTCCACATGGCTAATTGATTCTCACGGAATGTTTATGATGACTTTCACCACATTCTTGTATACCACACCCAACTTATGGCTGCACTATCAACCACAATTTGACAAAAGCAGTTACATCATAATTTGCTTTTTCCAGTAAATTTACTGTCATTAAATCTGATATGTGATTCACTGTTAAACTATTTCTCAAGCCCATACAAATTACATTCATTAAAATGAAACCTCTTCAGGACTCCTGAATGCAATAATGCTAATTATTCTTTGAGCTTTTTGTATAACTGCAGATATTGGAATATTGTTTGAATCTACATTAGGCACAAAATCCTGAAAATTGTCTAAACCAATTTTATGTTTTAAATTTCAGTTAAGGAGCAGCTAGGTGGCGCAGTGAATAAAGCCCCCTCCTTGGAGTTAGGAGGACCTAAGTTCAAATCCAGCCTCAGACATTTGACACTTACTAGCTGTGTGACCCTGGGCAAGTCATTTAACCCTGACTGCCTCACCAAAATCACTTAATATAATTTTTTTTCACTGACTATTTATAGTGAAGTTAGTCCTTCATAAGTCAAAGTAGGTGATTCTAAGAAATCAAAATAATTTTAAATGCTTTTATAATTTTTGTCTGATAAAAGACACAAGTTCAATGTGCTGAATTATATTTCTAGTAACATTCTTAGAAGGAGCTTTAAATATATTATTTTTACTAAATGGAATGTCTTTAAATTTATCTGATTTAATCAAATCTTCAAATTGAGATTCATGCTCTCCAGTACGAATCTTTAAATTTCTCAAATTTCTTAAGGTATGTTTGAATAATTTCTGGATGTTAGTTGATTTTAATTGCAACACTGTTGAAAGTAACGAAAATTCTTCAAGAATGTCAATCATTAAAGCAAGGTCTTGCAAAAAATTAATATTAGCTAATCTCTTTTCAAAACCAGAATAATCAGAACAAGAAAAATGCATAAAAATGCAGTATATGCATTCCACACAGCAGTAGCAGTTCATAAACTACATGCCACCCATCTTGGTCCCAGTAGGCTACCCATTTTAATAACTCCAATTTCAAGTTCTTTAGCTAAAGTTTCAAGCTCAGTTTGATTTTTACATTAGATTTTTAACAAACAGAATAAATTTTATTCAGAAAAAATTTAAATGATTAGTTTGTTTTATTTGAAATACTGAAACATCAAGTGATATTTTTAACCAATGATTTAAATAGTACCAAACAATTCTTTTAGGAAAATTTTCTAAGAACTTCATAGCTACTCCAGATTTTCTCTCCCTCACTGTATTAGCATCATCAGGAGAAAACACAATGAAGTTCACTTTCAAATATTCATTATTACAGCCACAATTATTTAAAATAGACAACAATGTATTGAAAATATATTTTGCTGTGGTTGCCATAAATTCTTTGGTAACAACAAATAACATTACCATTGCAGAGCTGGCTGAACTAAGCACTGGCCACATTTAACAGCTGGCTCCCAAATCCCTGAAAAACTAATAGTTGGCTCTCATGAGCTGATACAAGCCAGCTCTCACACACCACCATCTAAATAAAATAGGGAGCCACTGAGGATTAGTGTGCACAAGGGAGTGCCATGATCAGACCTGAGCTTTGGGAGACTGTATGGAAGACATATTAAAGAAGAAAGTACTAGAAGAGAAGATTCTAATTAGACCACCAAAATAGTCCAGGCAAGAGATAATGAAGGTCTAAACTAGAGAAGTAGACCATATAAATAGAAAGGAGATAGACTGTAGAAATGTCATAGAGGTTCAGCTGAGTTGTTTTCAGCACCTTCCAACTCTTCATGACCCCATTTGGGGTTTTCTTGACATAAGATACTGAAGTGGTTTGCTATTTCCTTCTCCAGCTCTTTTTATAGGTGAAAAAACTAAGACCAACAAGGATCACACAGCAAGTAAGTGTCTGAGGTCACATTTGAACTCAGGAAAATGAGTCTTCCTGACTCTAGGCCCAACACCCTATACACCAATATATATGGCACCACCTAGTTGCCCTTGTCAGAGATATAGCTATCATAAAATAAGTTCCCATAAGGAGCTGTCAAATATTTATTTGAAGAGCAAAAAAAAAAAAAAAAACATTCAATTTGACCATATTGAATTAGAATACAATTCACCTATAATAAAGACAAACTCCTCCTACTTGTCATGTCCTTGAAAATGTTTTAAATAGGAACATAAATCTAGAACTGAAAGTGACCACTGAGGTCATCTAGTCTAATGCTTTCCTCTTACAGATGAGGAAACTGAGGCCCAAGATCACACAGGTAATAAATTCATTAGTGATGATGAAGCATACTACCTACCTCTTGACAGAGGAGGAATGCAATCAAGGTGCAGAATGAAAAACATTTTCAGATATAGCAAATGTGTGGACTTGTTTTGTTTGACTCTGCATCTTTGTTACAAAGATCAATTATTCCTTTTTTTTTTTAATATGGGTGGAATTAGGAGGAGAAAGATGAACTAATGATAGTGTTGCTCCCCTCCCCCCAAAAAAAAGAGGAAGAAAAGGTCATTGAACCATTTTTTTAAATGTACAAATGTATATTTTAAATGTGCAAATGTACATTTTTAAATGTACAAGAGTTCAAAGGTCAAAGATAAATGAGATCATTTGTTGTTGAATTTACTTTTCAAATATAAATTTTTTCAATTTAAAATTTTTTCAATTTTACTTTTTTAGCTTTTTAAAAAGCTATCTGTAAACTTTCTATTCTACTTTGTATATGGAAATGTTCTTTTTTGGTATTTGTAACATTCAGAATAAAAAATATTTTTAAAAAAGAGAATTTTTCTGTTCTTCTGTTTGTTTTGTATTGCTTTTAGACATAAAGGCCCTTTGGTAGTAAAATTTTTGAGAACGGATAAAAATTTGCCACAGACTAGAAGTTAGAAAAAATAGCCTCTAGCAAGTGGACTCTTGGATCATTCTTCAAAAAAATCTCTTCTTTAATATTACTGAACAATGAATTCACTAAATGAATCTGAGCACAGAGCATACAGCATCGGCCCTGAAGTCAGGAGGACCTGAGTTCAAATCCGGCCTCTGACCAAACACTTGACATTTACTAGCTGTGTGACCCTGGGAAAGTCACTTGCCTAAAAAAAAAAAATCTGAAACCACAGAATCTTGGATTTAAGCCTTCTTAAGGCTTTCTGCTACTTGGATAAAAAGATCATAAAAATGACTGATGAATGTGTTCACGGTGGAGAGGAAAAAGGGAAGGGGGAAGGAGTATAGGTATAGGTTAGGAGGAGGAGGAGAAGAGATACACGAGAAGCTAAATCAATTCTGGCAGTCACTCATATCGAGGAAAAACTTTATGACTGAGAAGTTCCAGAAACATGCATCAGTCAATCATGTTACATCTTATTACTAAAACTCAATACTTTAAGTGTCACAAGTAATAAAATTTACAAAAAACTCTGTAGAATCTAATAGAAATATAAAAATAAGAAGCAATTTTTAAACCTTTACTTTTTATTTGGTATGTCAGTAAGCTTCCATCGCCGTTTCCAACCACCCTTACATCTACTTTCAAAGCTTAATAAAATCTTCATTTTCATTATTAACCGAAGAACCCTCCTACTCTTCACATCCTTGAAAATATTTTAAAGCAAAATGGAACAATACCCATTAAATTCTTTTAAATCTCATTAAGTGCAAATTACTAAGATTAAACTCTATTGTGCTTCATGCCCTAATTTTCTGAAGTTTGCTTAGAAATTCTAAAAATTTGGCAACTAAACATTTCCACTGGATGTGGACCTAGAGCGAGTGAAAAATAAAAGGCATATTTACCTCCTTCCCTTCTCTTGCTTTTTGGTCTCTCGCTACTATGGCTAAAACATGTGCAGCTTGTTCCCCTCCCATCACAGAGATGCGAGCATTTGGCCACATGTAGAGAAACCTTGGACTTAAAGGAAAAAAGTAATTAAATGCAAACCATATAGAACAAAAAGACCCCTTTCTACCTAAAAATGGTAGGTTAATTTATTCTTTTTCATCAAATAGAATGACAGTCTTGTTGACTTTTTTTGTTCCATACCAACCCCATAAATTATACTTGTACATGGAACCAATTTTAGAAATCTTAAAATGCTTCCTCTTTTATTTACTTCCCAACAATCTAATAAATACTTCTACTTTCAAGTAAAAGGCAAGACATATTACATTCTGATTAACGAATCAAACTATAACAATTCAAATTTCATTACTATCAGAACAAAGGTCTGAAAATAGCAAAAACTGCTCTTAGTACAGAGATAAAAGAAACATTCTTTAAGAAGCATGAAAATAGCAATTAATTAAAAATGAAGCCTACAATACTTGCCTCAGGAAACTGAGGCATATAATATTCAGTTTCACCCCTATCTCACGATAATACAGACAGCAGGCTTGGCTGATCGAGGTCATGTCAGGACCAGTCCATGTTAAAAACCACTGTGAATAAAAGGGCACACTACAGACAAATGAGAAGAAGCAGTCTGTTTCTCTATCTGCCCACTTACGAATATGCTCTGCCACACATTCCAAAATTTCCAGCTCCATAAGATCCCCCAATGATGACAGTAATTTTAGGTACATTGGCACAGGCTACAGCAGTCACCATCTTGGCTCCATCTTTTGCTATTCCTCCAACTTCATATTCTTTACCAACCATAAAACCTTAAGTAAAAGAACAGAAACAAAACCTGGGGATGATGGAATTAATGAACAACACAAATCAGTAAGCATTAATTAAGTACACTGTAATGTGACAGGCACTGAGCCAGAAACTGTGGATACCTGGAGGGAAGGTGGGGGTAGGGGTGGGGGAGGAGTAGTAAGGGGGAGGTGGGGGAAGGGAAGTGACAGGAGATAAACTATGTGCCCAGATAAGTAAAGGGTGCATTCCATGAATGAGAGACAGCCTGTGCAAAAGCACAGAGAGGAGAGATGGATATGAGTATAGGAAGTAGGCCATTTTGGTTGGCCTATATATTACACAAAGGGCAGTAATATCCATCAAATTTAGAGAGGTAGGCTGCAGGCAAATTGTGGAGGGTTTTAAAGACTAGACTCAACAAATTTTTATTTTATCTCGGAGGAGAAAGTGAAGATGTTTGAGCCTGGTGGCGGCACAGTCCAACTTGTACCCAAGGCAAATTACTTTGGCAGCATGGATACAGCAATGACTTCTTGTTTCTGAGCTCTAAAGGAATCCAGAGCCACCACAGCAAAGGTAAGGAGAACAAGTAAGAAGAACCAAAAGACCATTCGCTTCACAGGTACCTTCCCCTGTATCTGACCAACTGGAGATTCCATCTGGGTGACCGTTTGCTCTAAAAATGTAGATACCCTTCAGGACAATATATCTGACTCATCATTCGTAACACCTAAATCCAGTCTAATCTCTTTAACTGAGCTGGAGAGGCTAGCTTGGAAAGTCTCCTCCATTACCTAATTCTCCCAGAGAGGAAAAAAAGAGATGGAAAAGGAGGCCAAAAAAGGTTCATCTTCCTCCCCCATAGTTCACAAATCCTCAGGGCCATCAAGGCCAACCCTGAACCAAAACAAGAGCTCCTTCTGGAGTATCTCAATGATCATCCATGTTTTCTTGACAGCTTTTCTCTCCAGTAAGAGGGAATTTATTACTCTGTTCATTATTTAGGATACTATAGGATTCCCATATATAAGCAGAATCTATACCACCTGATTCTGATAGGCTTTTTGATGGCAATGAAGCAGTTCAGGTTGCTCCTTTCTTACCCTCAATATTCTGAATGTAAAAATCTAATCATTACATCTAAATCTATACAAAAATCTTCTTAGTTCTACATTAGTCTGAATTTCCCCTAGAATTTGTCCATATGAGAGAAGAGGGAAAAAATTAAGAATCAATCCCAATATCCCTGTAGAGTTGAGGTTACTAATTACCTAAATAGGGTTTCCTGCAGCCAAACTGTACAAATACAAATCCATCAAAAATATAAATACATCAACACCTTAATTTACTGGCACTCAAGCAATCAACACCCTTGTATGAGAGAAGATCTAGATGACAGGAGATTTAGGTTGAAAGAATAGAGATTAAGGACTGAGTGTCAACCTTGGGGGCTAATGCTTGTCCCTGGGGATCCACACATAGCCTATGTTTTTCAACATTTTTAGTACTGACTTGGCTTAAGTCAGAGATGAAGACATTTATCAAATCTGCAGATAACACAAAGTTGTGAGGGACTGCTAATATGTTGTACAAAAGAGTAGGGATCCAAAAAGATTTAGAAAGTTTACAAATATAAGATTAATCTGATTAAATTTAATAGAGACAAATGTAAAGTCTTAAATTGGGTTAAAGAAAATCAACTCCAGAAGTAAAAAAGAGCCAAGAGTTCTAGTGGACTATAAGCTCAATGATGTAATATGTCAACCATAAAAGCAAATGCTTCTTTGGACTTGCCTAACAGAGGCACCATGCCTGGAACAAGGGAAGAAAGAGCCTTGCTGAATGTTGCCTTGAACAGAAGATACTTGGAGCACTGTTCTTTGTGTTGGGCACCATACTTGAAGAAGAGCATTGAATGCAGAGTTTCAAAAAAGAGAGTAATCATAACATCAAGAGGCCAGATAGCCAAGTATACAAGAATCATTTAACGAGACTATGAATGTCTGGCCTCATTTATTAAAGATTTATCAAAAGAACTAAATTTTCTAGTTTCGAACACCAAATGGGATACTATTATGTTATTTCATGCCAACAAAACATTATTGAACTTAATATTCAAAAATTATGTCCTCTTGGAAGAGTGAAATAGATTTCTCTCTAAGTTCTTTTGTAATAAATTTAAAGCAGTTCATTCATTAAAGCAGCATATAGAGTGATATTCAAACAACCTGGGAAAGTAACTTCCTTTAAAAAAAATTGTCAGGACAATCATGTTTTCGTCTTGATGACGACAATACAATATAGTCGTCTGAGTGAAAATACTATGCCAAGTCAGTCTGGGACTTCTAGTATTCACTAGCAGAGTTTAAAAATACAGGCTGTACTTTCAAATATGCCCTCTTAAAACTTTGATGACATAAAAATGAATGTTTTATAGAGACATACAAAGTTAACATTTTCAGTGAGTGACTAAAAGTCAAACTGAAAACAGTATGTCACTTTTTATTCCTATGTAAAACTCAAGGAAATATATGGTGACATCAGAGACACCCTCATTCTTTTATTATTAGCATTTAAGAAATATCTAGACCACCCAGGTATTATTCACTGCAACACAATAGATATGTACCTAGATAATAGGCCAGGAAAGAACAATGATTTTCTTCACAGTATTTAAACAGTTCCCACTGGACAAAAAGGTTGTATTCTAAAAGCTCATAAGTCACCTATTCAATACATGGAATCCCTTTTCCAATGAAAATAAGGTTATATAGTTTCTAGGTAAAAAGCCTCTTTAAAAAATAAAGTTTCCCAAAGAGATCAAAAAAAGAAAAAGGATTCTTATGTACAAAAATATTTATAAGCAGTTCTTTCTGTGGTGGCAAAGAATTGGAAACTTGACGGGGAAAATTGGGGAACGGCTGAACAAGTTGAGGGATATGATTGTAATAGAATATTATTGTGTTTTAAGACATGACAAAGGGGATGGTTTCAGAAAAATCTGGGAAGAATTATATGAACTGATACAAAAAGAAGTTAATAGAACCAAGAGAACACTGTACCCAGGAAAGCAATACTGTAATGATAATCAATTGTGAATGCATTAGCTACTCTGATTGACACAATGATTCAAGACAATGCCAAAGGACTCATGATGAAAAATGCTATCCAACTCCAGAAAGAAAGCTAATGAATTCTAAGTGCAAATTAAAGCATATTTTCCTATTATCCTTATTTTTCTTGCTTTTTGGGCAACATGGGTAATATAGAAATGTATTTTGCATGATTTCACACATATAATGGGTATCATATTGCTTGCCTTCTCAATGGGTAAGGAAGGGGATAAAGAGAGGGAGACAATTTGGAACTCAAAATTTTAAAATGAATAATTAAAATATTAAATTAAATGAAGATAAAAATTTTTTAAATAATAAATGTAGCTGAACCACAGCATATGTGCAATGAAAAATTATAATCTTACAATAATGTTTTTGTGTAACAACAAAAACAGTAAATATAAAACCAAATTAAATAATGAAATTTACCTGGAATACTGATACTTGAGAAAAATCAGGTTTAATTAGAAGATGGCAAAAGAGATTAACCCCTGAAAGCCCAGAAAATATCGCCCCAGGAAAAACCCTGGAACAGCTGAACCAGAAGAAAGATGGAGTGCAACAGTCCAGTAGCCCAGGTAGCTTGAGGGATTAATGGGAAAGGCCCTTCTTGCCCTGGGGGAAGTGAAGCAGTACAGCACAGGAGGCATCCTGGCAAGCTAGTGGAAAGCCCCACCTCAGCATACCAGGAGGAGATCCTGAAACCCAGGTGGTGGAACAGGCAAACACCAACACCTGGACCCCTGAGTCTCAGTGAGGGTGGAGGAACCGGTGGAAACCAGTCTGAAAAACCATCAGGTGCCTCAGCATTCTACAGCAACCAGCTCTCCCAGTGCCTCAGCAAAACTAAGGGAAGCAGCACTCCAAGGAGCTCCAGGTGGACGAACATCCTGCAACATCGATCTGAAAAGAACTGAAGAAATCAAAAGGCAGGAAAGGCCCAGGTGATCAGAAAATCTCCAGGAGCCATATTACCCAATCCTACTCCTAGAGTTCCAGTGTTGCTGACTCCAGCCCAACACCAGGTAAGCTGCCAGAATCCTAGAGCCTCCAACTGCCAGCACTGGAGGCCCCAGCACACAAAGCCAGTGACCAGACCCTAAGCTCCCAACACAAGAAGCTTGAGTCAGTGCCCTCTGCTCCCCAGCAGGAGAGCTCAATCTCTTTGAAGGCCAGGAAATAAGCAAACACCATGAGTAAAAAGAAATGTATGATAAATTCTTATTATGGGAAGAGAGAAGATCAAGGCAGAAATTCTCAAGAGGACAACATCAACAAACCCACACCTGGAACCTCAAAAGGGAGTATGAACTGGTCTGAAGCCCAAAAAGCCTTCTTAGAAGAGCTCAAGAAGGATTTTAAAAGTCAAATAAGAGAACTAGAAGAAAAAATAGGAAAAGAAATGAGAGGTATGAAAGAGAGAGTCAATAGCTTGGAAAAGGAAGGACAAAAATTAACTGCAGAAAACAAGTCCCTAAAAAATACAATTGACCAACTGGAAAAAAGTACACTGAAGAAAACAAGTCCCTAAAAGATACAATTGGCCAACTGGAAAAAAAGTACACCAAAGAAAACAAGTCCCTAAAAAATATAATTGGTCAAATGGGGAAGGAGGTACAAAATCTAATAGAAGGAAACAATTTGTTAAAATTTAGAATTGGGCAAATGGAAGCTAATGACTCTATGAGAGAGCAAGAATCAGTCAAACAAAAACAAAAGAATGCAAAAATAGATGAAAATGTAAAATACCTCATTGGTAAAACAACTGACCTGGAAAATCAATCCAGGAGAGACAATTTAAAAATTATTGGTCTACCTCAAAATCATGATGAAAAAAAGAACCTGGACAGTATTTTTCAGGAAATCATAAAGGAAAACTGCCCTGAGGTCCTAGAACCAGAGTGTAAAATAGCCATAGAAAGAATCCATTGATCACCTTCTGAAAGAGATCCCAAATTGAAAACCTCAAGGAATATAGTAGCCAAATTCCACAATTACCAGGTCAAAGAGAAAGTACTGCAAGCAGCCAGAAAGAAACAATTCAAATATCATGGAACAATAGTCAGGATTACACAGGATTGCAGCTTCTACATCAAAAGACCATAGGGCGTGGAATATGATATTCCACAAGGCAAAGGAATTTTGATTACAACCAAGGATCAACTACCCAGCAAAAATGAGCATGATCTTTTAGGGGAGGAGATAGACATTCAATGAAATAGGGGACTTCCTAAACCTTCCTGATGAAAAGACCAGAAATCAACAGAAAAGTTGATCTTCAAATACAAGACTCAAGAGAGGCATAAAAATGTAAACAGGAAAGAAAAACAACATGTTTAATAAGGGCAAACTGTTTATATCCCTACAAGGGAAGATGACATTTGTAACCCTTGAGAACTGTATTGTTATTACACCATGTTAAAGGGGTATAAATAAAGGGGGTGGGTATAACTTGACTTTGATGTAATGATAAAAAAAATCTAATCAAGTGGGTTAAATGGATCCAAGTTAAGTGGATTAATCTGATCTAACTTAGAAAATGTACTGAGAGAAAAGAAAAGGAGGAGGCTGACAAGGGTAAATTACATTACAGGAAAAGGCACAAAAACCTATTACAGAGGGAAAGAAGGGAGGGAGATGAGCATTGTTTGAACCTTAGTCTCATCAGATTTGGCTCAAGAAGGAAATAACATAATCAGTTAGGTATTAATATTGATAGACTTCACCCTTCTCAGCAATACAAGGATCTAAGACATCTCCAAGGGCCTCATGATGGAAAGTGCTATTCACATCCAAAGAAAGAACTATGGAGTTTGAATGCAGATCCGAAGCATACTCTTTACTATTTTTTTTTCTGTTGTGTTTTGTTTCATCTTTCTGGTGGTTCCTCCTATTGGTTCTAATTCTTACAACATCACCAATGTAAAAATTTGTTTAATAGGAATGTATATGTATAGCCTATGTCAGATTGTGTGCCATCCTGAGGAGGGAGGTGGGGAGGGAAGGGGAGAAAAATTTAGAACTCGAAAGCTTATGGAAGTGATTGTTGATAAATCAAAATAAATTAATTTTAAAAAAGAAGAACAGAAAAAAAAGAACAAAAGAGATGGAGACTTTCATAGACATTCTTAAGGGAACTTCTAGGCACTTTTAAGAACTACCAAAAGGTTGATATTGGTAGTTCTTTAATTATGACTCATGAAATTAAAAACTGACAGCATTCCTTTTCCTTGACACATATCTATTCTTCCTCCCCCACAGCACTACTTAAGCTTATTAATCATGATTAGGTTAACTTTATAGCTCACAAATGGAATAAAGTTTCTAAGTTACTCCCAGAGAAAGAAGGAAGGAAACAAACATTTATTAAGTGCCAGTATGTGCCAGGTACTAGGCTAATCACTTTACAAGTATTATCTCATTTGAGCCTCACAAGAACTCTGGGAGTCACAGTGCCTCCCCCACACCAAGCACCAACAGGGATTGCCAGATCAAGGAAGCTGTTTTGCTATTTAGAAAATGCAGGAGTAAGAAAAGCAGCCTCAGTGGGAATGGAGAGATGGGGGCACCAGCACTGGCTGTTCATGCATGTTGTGTACATGAAGCCTGTTCTCATCTCCTCAGTTGTTTGTGCCCTCCTTCCTGCCCCCTACTCCACAAATTCACATAGATACACTATAAGTGCATACATACACAATTTATATATCTATGTGTGTATATATATATGTATATATATATAAAATACATATTTATATATTAAAAGGATATATACAAAAAGTATGTTTATATATACATTTATATTATATACATTATATATATACATACACATCTATATTTTTTGTATATATTTATTTATGTAAATGTCTCCTCCAATAAGAATGTAGCTCCTTGAGGGCAGGGACTGCTTTATTTTTGTCTTTGTATCTGAGGACATAGCACAAGTTCTGGCACACAGCAGAAGCTTACTAAATGCTTGCTGAATGATTTGCAATTCAAGCATTCACAATGGACAGGAGAGACCACATAGGTTGATTCCTTAAAGTAGTTGAGATTCAGGTAGAAAGTGTTTTTCCTTGAATAAAGACTATAACAAATCATCAAAACCAATCAAGATATTTTCTCACCAGTAATATTCTGAAGAAACACAAGAGGAATCTTTCTTTGGCAGCATAACTGAATAAAGTGAGTTCCCTGTAAGAAGAGGGAAAAAAAATTTTTAGAATATAATTATAATATATTTAATTGTGATTATAATTAATTACAATTAAATCATGATTGCAAATACATTACTATGCTTCCTCCAAAACAAAACAGGACAACCTAGGAAAAAAGACAAAAAATAATTCCACCTTGCTTATCAAATTTAACAGCATATCAATAACAATACGGCTATTAATCCACTAGCAGTAAGATATATGCTTTGTGCTCTTTTTCTGATGTTGCTAATGAAACTGACCTCAGTCATCTATGCTCTCTAACAGCCACCTTTACAACATATGATATACATTTGCCAGACATCTGGACTACTGGAGATAAAGTCCATGGCTACAGAACAGAGATTTTTTTTTTTTATCTTTTTGTTGAGAGCTAGATGAGTGTTTTTGTGTAAAAATAACTAGCCCATACCGCATCTGGCCACAAGCTAAGAACGTTTTTTACATTTTTAAATGCAATAAAACTTTAGTTAAAAATGTAAAAACCATTCTTAGCTATGGGCTATACAAAAACAGGTGACAGAAGTTTCCCAACCCCTGTAACTAACTAATCAAGTTACTGACCGGGACAAAACCAATTATCACCAGCTTTTTCACCTATACAACACTTTCCTGGTCTACAGAACATTTCTACATAAAGTGCCTACCATCACAAGTAACCACATATCTCACTGAATGATATATAAAGTCCTTCCTAGTAAACTTCTATGAATCACGATACCCAAAGCCTGATAACTTTAATGGCGTGCCTCCATATTTTAAAGTGATATGGAAAAATTAGCAACATGTCCAAAATCATACCTGCTCTCCCCCCTCCAAATCTATTTCTCCTTCTGACTTCAATATTTCTGTGAATGGTGCCAATATTCTCCTAGTTAACAGATCTGAAACCTCAGTCATCTCTGATTCCTCCCTCTCCCTCACTTCCCATATCCAATCAGCTGCCAAGTCACGTTGATTCTACTTCAGCAACATCTCTACTCACACTGTCGCCAACCTATTTGGGGATCTCATTACCTCAGGTCTGTGCTATTTGCAATGGCCCCCTAACTGGTTCTCCTGCCTCCAATCTTTCTTCCCACTAACCCATTCTACATATCAATGCTAGATTAATCTTTCTTCCTTGTGTTTTATTGATAAGTTTTTTTAAAAACATCAGTTCACTTCCTAATGATTTCTCCCCTACCCCTACTACACACTAGTTGTATCTGAAAATCCATGCCTCATTTCATACCCATGGTTCACCACATTGCTACTGAGAGGTGGGAGGTATCCTTTACCATCAGTCCTTGGAAATCATGGTGGCTCATGGCATCAGAGTCCTGAATGATCTTCTTAGTATACATCATATAACTCCTCTGCTCAAAAGCTTCTAATAGTTTTAAGCTACGTACGAAATAAAATCCAAAAGCTTTAGCCTAGCATTCAAAGCCTCACATTTTACCTTTCCAGCCTCATCTCATGTTATTCTCTTTGATGCCCTATCCATTCCAGCCAACCTGGACTACTCAATGATCTATAAACACATCTCAAACCTCCCAAACACCATGAAATGTTTTCTTTCACCAATTTTACCAGTTGAAATCCAACATATCATTCAAGGCCTAACTCAAATGCCAGCTCTTCCATAGTATTTTCCCTGATTCAAGTAACCAAAAGTGATTTCTCCCTTCTAAACTCATACACTTTGTTTATACCTCTCTTATGTACTTAACAAACATATTATACCTTAGATTATAAGAAGACTTAGGAATCAGAAAACCTAGGTTTGAGTCCTGTCTCTGACATTAGCTGCAGCTGTTGAACATGTCTCTTAATTTGGGGACCTTAGTTTCCTCATCTGTAAAACGGACATGATACTAGTTCTATCACTGAACTTACAGGATTGTTGTTGTGAGAAAAATGCCTTATAGAAATGTGACCTATAATTATTATAGTTACCCATGTACCTCTCCTATCATTCTCTGATTCTAAGCTTTTGAAAGCAAGAACTGTTTTATTTGTCTTCCTAACCCCCACAGGAGCAAAGGGTAACTCTATGACATTGAAGGTATTAGAGAGGACACAAGCAGTACTGCCTAACATAAAAGATGGCACCTTGGAAACTGTCGTCTCAGCAAACCCTAATTCCTTTCCAAATTCATCCCCCAAAGCCTTCTCCAATCTGTTTACTTTCCCGATTACCTTGCTTTGTTCTGTGGAAGATTACTTACTGTTATGTCATTCTGGTACTTGTTACTTAGTAACCAGCTACTGGAGGGTAGGACTCCTCAAGCTTTACTACAACCAGAGGTTACCGATCAGAATTATTTATATCAGTTAACCCACATCCTCACTTTGTATTGCTTGCTCATTCATTTGTGGATGAGAAAAAATAATATAAAAAATTGGGGATATGTGGATCCTTTTTGCATGTATTCAGGTGAGAAAGAGACAGTGAAGTCAGAAGTCAGATCCAAGGTTAGAAGAGATAGAGATGATTCACATACTAGGTTGGTTTTCTTTTAAAAATCATCCTATATCTAGCGCTGGGAGAGACTTCAGAAGTCACCAAATCTAACTCACTCATTTTACAGAGAAGAAAACGGATTGAGGCCCAAAGAGGTTTAGCAACTTGCTCAACTTCACATAGAGATAGGTGTCAGACGCAAAATATGAATCCAGGTCCTGACTTCAAACCTAGTACTCTTTTCACTATACGACATCATTTTCCATTTTTTAAAAATCACAGCTTCAATACCATCCCCATTGTTTCCCCACTTCCCCAAAATTATAAAACTGGATTCTAGTCCAGAAATTCACAGAAGGTCAGAAAAATAATTAAGCATAGAAATCTGTATCAGCAACAAGGTTTTGGATATGAGCTGATTTGCACTTAGCACCAGAGAGTGAGACTGTGATGCAAGACAAGTTGTCCATATGCTAGCTGAAAATGCATATGGAGCAAGTAGGTGGTGCAGAAGATAGAGTGCTGGGCCTGGAGTCAGGATGGCCTGAGTTCAAATGCAGCCTCAGACACTTACTAGCTGTGTGATCCCGGGGAAGTCACTTAACCCTGTTTGCCTCAGTTTCCTCATTTGTAAAATGAGCTGGAGAAAGAAATGGCAAACCACTCCAGTATGTGATGAAGAGTTGGACACAGCTGAACAACAACAATGATAGATTGTATTTATAAACTATATCAAATTGCTTGCCTTCTCAGGGAGAGGGAAGAGGAGGGAGGAGAGAACTTAGAACTCAAAATTTTAAAAAGAATGTTAAAAATTATTTTTACATGAAATTGGAAAAAAATATTCAAAGAAAACGCATCCATCTTCAATAGCACTTATGCTCTCAAGTCTTCTGTGAGGACTTCCCAAGAACTAGTGGGTGTACTGATTTATTTTCTTTCAGACAGCGTTGCAGGCAGGTTTGACTACTTCATTTGGTGTCATATTTAGTGTCAACCATGTTAAAAAGTGATCCTAAAATATATACACACAACCAAATAATCCTGCTTGCCAATGCACCTGCTGAGTTCTTTCATGGGTATAACAGATACCAAACCAGATGAGAAAATGAATGTTTTAAAGTCTTTTCTTTCAATCTGTTTTACTTCCACATTTGACTTTCAAAATAAGTGATAAAGACAAACAGAATAGTTTTGAAAGTTATCTGTGAAATTTATTAAATACTTTAAAAAAGCAAACTGTACATAAAGTATTTTCAGTTTTACATATAATCTTTTTTCCTATGTGTATAAAGAGAAGCTCATTTTATTTAGTGTTTGTTAGGTTTAGCACAAAAAAAACAACTAAAAAAAGAAACCAAAGTTAGCAATACTAAATTAAAATTGAAAGAAAATCTTGATAATCTTTTACATATTACTTACCTTCTTTGCAGATTCTGAGAAAAGAACACCATTGTTTCCAATAATTCCCACTGGGTAGCCAAATATTCTAGCAAACCCTTAAAAAAACATTAAGTGATATTTATTTCTGATAACAAACAAACACATCTGCTCAACGATACAGATAATGAGAAAGAGAGAAGTAGCATGAAACAGTTGCTGTGGTTCAGTCAGTCAGTTGTGTCCAACTCTTTGTGACCCCCTGGAGCATGGGATTTTCTTGGCAAGGTTACTGGAGTGGTTTGTCATTTCCTTCTTTGGTGGATTAAAGCAGAGGTTAAGTGACTTGCCCAGGGTCACACAGGTCATAAGTGTCCAAGGCATAGCAGATAGAGACCAAGCCTCCAACCCAGTAAGACCAGGTTTAAGTTTCATCTCTGCCACATACTTGCCATTAACCCTGGGCTTATTACTTAACCTCTCGGTGCAATTGTCTCAGGTAATTCTCTAAAACTAGATATTGTAGAGAAGGTGAAAATCTTTGGCCCTTACAATTTCCTCACCAGAAATTCCCTGTACCAATGAAACCACGGGTCTAATGCTCAGCAAAAGTCAATGTCACATCTTTATTACCCAGATTTTAAAATTTTTTCTCTGTTTTAGCTTTGTTTTTCAATAGTCACATTACCTAGGGGGAAAAAATCCATTTGTTTTACTTATGTGTGACAATTCTTAAATAGCTGATTTAGATAAACCCAAGTTGGTTTGGTACTAAAATAAGCCTGGCTCTTTAAAAGCCAAACTACAGTCACCCTCTTCATTTAAGTACCTGCTTAAAAGCAGCTTAATCAATTATATCGGTTTTTTTTTCCTATCCAAATGACCTGCTTAAAGATATTATTTTGAAAAAGCTGGTGGAAAGTCAAGCTGGGTAAGAAGCAAATTTACCCTAAGAAAAGGAACTTAGCTGAGAAAAGATTCACTGCAGCGAAAATCTTGCTGAAAGGTTGCCACAAAGAATTGCTACAGGCAAAAACAAAGTAAAGCTGAACTAAAAAACAAAACACACACACACACACACACCCCTCTCTCTCCCCCAAAGCAAGATGCCTTACATTGTTCCAGGAAAAAAAAAAGGCTAACTATTTTGAAAACCTAAAGAGGCAAATGACCCAAAGGCCCTGCAAGTACTACAGCTTTCAGAGCCATGAATACAAAAAATTCAATATTAATCTAGAACTTCTACTGTATAAAACCCAGATGGGAAGAGACCATAACACTGAGTATCAAATTAAACTGATTATGAAATAAATAGGCAAAACAGGACACCTCATACTTAGACTTTTTGTGTTTGTTTTGTTTTGTTTTGGGAGGGGTGGTTGCTAATGATTTAACATTATTAGAAGTGAGTTGTTTGTTTTTAATAGATATTTACTTCACTTCGGTAAAAAATAAAAGACCAGTATGGTAGTTACTTACACTTACCTAGGTAGCACAGTAAATAGAATGCTGGATCTGGAGTCAGAAAAACCTGAGTTCAAATCTGGCCTCAGACACTTATTAGCTATGAGACCCTGGGCAAGTCACTTAACCTCTACTTGCATTAGTTTCCTCTTCTGTAAAATATCTAGCTCACAGGGCTATTGTGGGGATAAAATGAGATAATATTTATAAAGCACCTTGCAAACCTTAAAGTATAAATGATAGCTATCCTCGATGTTTTATTCCCAACCTTAGTTTAAGCCATAACTAACACTCTGCTTGCTATCTAGTCTACTCTAACCAACAAGATAAATTCACCAAAGAAAGCAAGGAAACAGGGAAAAAGAATAAATGGTCCAAAGAGTATTGTAGAAATCTCTTTTGAACTTGTTCCAACCCACAAAAATTGAGAAAAACATGTCCAATTGCTTATGACCTACAATAAAGAAGAAAGAGCTCTGAATGTTATTTTGGCTGCTTAGCAATCAGGGCATATACTGTTCAAAAATTAGTTTGAGTCAATGCACTGGTAAAACTTATCTGTTCAAATATTAATAGAGATTAGTCATTTAAGTACAAAAGTTCAAATCCCATTTTCAGAGTGAATTCCCTTCTCTACCTTAAAGTTGGTAAGAATTAAGATTTAACCTGAAATATAAGTGTCATTATTTCTTCATCTAGATTTGTGCTCGATATTAACCTAGTTTCTAAAGAGAAATGCAATTTTCTCATTAGCCATTTCAGGTTCAAGCTTTATACATTATATTTGAGGTTCTGTTTTTTGTCATTTTGAATCTAGCATTCAATTTAGACATTTTTCTACATTAGAAACCAGATTTAATATTTCACTCTTTGAAAACAACTTTCAGAAATACCTTATTTGCTTTTCAGACTGTGCTCACTGCCCAGGGCACACAATCTATCTACCATACATAGCACCCTAGAGAACTAGCTAAGGAGTTATGAATTCCACATGCTGATGATGGGCAGGCAGCCACAAACTCCTTCTTCCTCTCCTTCCTTACTCTTGTCCCAGAAAGTCATCTAGCCACAGATGGTTCCTTCATCCATTGACTCTATGGACTCCAGCATTTCAATACAGTGACAAAAACACTCAGGATGCTATCAGAGTGACTATGGAGTCTACTTCATCATCCAGATACTTGAAGAAAATCTAAAGGTTTAGTTTTACTTCTCATCTCCAAAACAGAGAAATTTCTATACATTCAACCCTTAAGAATACCTGTGACTAAGGTATCTCCGTAGAGGGCTTTAAATTCATCAAATCTGCTTCCATCCACAATCCTAGCAATGACCTAGAAGAAGAAAAGATAAAATGTTTATGACAGAGAAATTTTTTAACAATCATGTTCAGGTTATTTTTAAGTGAGAAGGAAAAAAAGATTCACAATGAAGTTGTCACTTTCCCAGATTCACTGCACCCTCTACAGAGGTACCCAATCACCGCAGCTTCATCTTGCGCATTCAGTGTGCTCCGGCCATTCTTGTTTTCTTTTGTCATAAATAAGAACCATGCCTACAAAGGATAAGTCAGGACTCCTGTTTGTAACTATATGTCAGAGAAAGTCAGTGCTCAAACATTTATCTCGAGATCTTTAGGCAATCTCAGCTCCCAGATGCACTAAGCTCAACTAACATTTCCAGCCCTAATTCACATTCCAACCCAGTTAAATAATCTGCACTCTAGTAAAAAAGGATTACATATCATCCAGAACTTTTCCCACTCCCACGCCCTCGCTCACACCTTTCTCTGTAGCTAGAATTCTCTCCAACTACAGCAATCCAGCCCATGTTTCATGGCCTAGTCCAAAATATATTTTACAGTAGTTATAACCGTGGTCTGTCGTCAAGGATAAACTAGGTAATCATTTTGATCTTAGTGACATGGTCCTTTAATCAGTAAACAGTGTGAAAGATGCTGGGGGAGATACAAAGATAGAAGAAAGACAACTGACCCTGCTCTTGAGGAACATATCATCTAGCAAATGTACACAAAGAACCATGGTGCAGAATTGAATATGAGTTCACAAACAATGTGAGACAGGAAAGAAAGATTACTTTTGGTGGACAGTAATCAGGAGGCAGCATTTTGGATGAGACCATGATGCATGGACAGGTTTACATTAGATAGAAATTGGGCACAGGGAGGGCATTCCAGTCATGGAGAACAGTATGAGCACACACAGGAGTGGGAAATCCAGGGTTTAATTAGAATGATAACTAGCCATTCAGGGGCACAGGGCAAAGCACTCCAAACAAGGGGTCAGAAGACAAAATGCTACCTCAAATTAACTTTTTAAGACAAACTGAGAAGAAAGGAAGAAACACCTTGGAACACAAGGTTCTGCAGGAGCAGGCCAGAGACCGTAAGACAGTGGTCCCAAGCAGCAGTGGTGAGAAGGGATATACGAGGCGGAGAGGGTCAAGGAAGAGCTTTCATGGGGTTCCTCAGTCAAGGAAAAGAAACCAGCAGGTTCCTATTTTAACTAATATACTTTTTTTGGTTAAACTAGAATCTAAACTCAGCTGTTTCTAAGCTATGGGATATAAATGCTATCAGCACCCTTTAAATTGTGGTCACCCTTGGTTCACATCCATGGTTCTCATTTAAAGTCTGTAAAGGTCCCTAGGACAGAGTTATAGAAAATCCTATTTTTATTTATTTTTAAGGCAAACTTATCTGGAGTCTTTGGAATAATGTTGTTATAGAATAAATTATACTAGTTATAAAAATGAAGGAAGATACTAAGTATTACATGCCATATGCACTCGTTGGAAAAGTCACCAATCTACATTAGAGAAGATTTAGATATTGACCTGTAGCTTTGGCAACATCCAAAACGCAATGCAGTTTAAAATATAACCTCTTCTAATGGCACATTGGCATTTAAACTATTTACCAAAATAGCAACACAAGGGGGGAAAAAACACCTTTGAAAACTGTAAAGTTGCTCTTAGGCCATCTCTGATGTCTACCGAAAACGTAAAGCTTCCTTAGGAACAATCAAACTATTCCTGTCCCCAACCAAGCACAGATATACAATAACTATGATTTTTTTTTTGTTTCTGTGGACATTTAAAATGTAACAATGATACATGAATTATAAAACTGTGCCCTTACCTGCGGTTCCTTCCTGACACACCTGCCAACCAATGGCCAAAAAGTTTAAATACATTTTAATTCTTCCCTGTCTTTAGATGTATATTTTAAAACACTTTTGTTTCTCTTACAAGAATTTACTTTTTTATTCATTTAGACAGGTTATATTATAGTTCCACTTCAATTTAAAGTCATATCTAGGCCAGCCATGCTGGTGCCTGTGATCCCTGCTATGTGTGGGGCAGGGCTGAGGCAAGGAGAACATGAGTACAAGAACCCTGAGATGCAGTAGGGTTCAAGCCTACTGGGTGATTGCATTATGTCTGGCTCCAAGATAATAAGCTCTTGGGAAGGAAAAGGGAGGAGATGGACACCTGGCTGCTAAGAAGAGGAGAATCAGGGCCCAGATTATAAATGGAGAAGATCATTCCATGACAATCAATTGTGAGATTGGGTCTGTGAGTGACTGCTGCACTTCTAGCCTGGGCAAGATAAGATGACCAAAACCAAAAAGTCATACCTCTCGGATATCAAAGTTCCTCTTGAGGTTATCTCCAACTATTCCATATACCTCATCTAGAGGAAATAAAGGCTCTTCAGAAGGTTCTACTGTCACCTATAATCATTTAATAGAGTTATATTAACCAAAGTTCAATTTAATTAAATTCAACAAACACTTATTAGGCACTAACATAACATGGCCACCATACCATACCATACCAATAGTTCAAGGAACTATCCTATGTTCTGGAGATACAAAGACAAAAATAAAAACCATCCCTGTCTTCAAGAAGTACACAAGTACACAGAAATTATTTCAAGGAAGAGAGAATGCTAATACTTGTGGGGATAAGGAGAAGTTTCCTATAAAAAGTATCACCTGAACTATACTCTGAAAGAACCTAAAGAAAACACAGATGCTACTTTATGCTGTCATCAATCTGACAACCTAAAGAAGACAATAAAATATTTTCTAGCTAAAATGCCAGTTTGTAGTCAGACAGCTTAAGGGAGTACTACCTAATAATAACATACTATATCAGTGCAAATGAAAGGAATAACAAAAGGAACCTTGGCCCAAATCTCCTTTCAGTAGAGAAGGGAACTACAACAGTAAAATGTTACATACACTTTCAGATATAGCCACTGTGTGAGCGGGGTTTCCTACCTTTTGTTACAAGGGAAAGCTCACAGTGTTTGTTTAGGGGTGAATGGGAGGGAGGGTAATATCCAGAAAAGACTACTGCACAAACAAAAGGCATCAATAAAGCTGATTTTTAAGGGGAAAAAATCATATACTCACTTCTAATTTCTTCCTATAGTTTAGACTCCTCACAGCTTTCCTTGCCAAGTGAAGTGCATGACTGTCATCCAAAGCATAGTGATCAGTTACTCCAGACTTTCTACAGAATAAAATAAATTCAAAATGGCAACAGAAAACAAAGAAGGAATTAAACATCTCACCACCACACATCTTTCCCCATCTAACATGAAGCACCAAAATTAAGGCTAGATCATCTGAATACTTGCATCATAATAAATGAAATCAGTGTTAAGTTATGGGAGTTTTTTTGGATATGACTAATTTTATAATATGTTTAGAGTTCCTAGAGGAACTGGAATACTGGAAAGGTATACAAAGATGGCTCCCTAAGACAGAAATCTGAAATGCAGGCCTGGCTCTGAGCAGCTATACTCCAGGCAGTACACTCATAATCAAAGCTGGCCAATTTGATCAAGATCGCCAAGCCTGGATCCTTAAGGGACCCTGGTCTACTGTATTTGTTCAGACTTGTTCAGCTCCTATTACAGCTACCCCATAGACCAAAAGTAGACTATTATGGACTGATACAATGGAAAAGAAAATAACAAATAACTATTATAGGTTAGGGTTACTTCAGATATTTTGGGCGGAGAATGGGTAGTGAGAGGGGTACAGTTAATTGGAATAAAAATCCATGGTGTGGGCCAAGTTTTCTTAGTGAGACAGCTTTGATTCCTGGAGCTGTGGTGCCCACGTGGGCAATAAATACTGCATGACAAACTTTGGCATCCACATATATCCTCAACGTCCATGCATTTAACCTTTTCACGTTGGCAACTGCACACATTTACGGTTAGGTGCAGTAGAGAAAAAATTGAGAGACACGATACGTGCAAATTTGTGGGGCAGCTGGTATCCACCAGGCACTTCTCTGGTCTTGTTCACCCTACCATTGTAAAAAGCTCCCCCAGCATTCGTTGCATATTTTCATGGCTTCACTTTAAAACTCATGTTTTGTGTTGCCATTATGCTCCCAAGTACAGTACAAGTCCTTTGGACTCTAAGGTAATGTCAAGACCTCACCAGTCTCAGTATCTGCTAACAACTGTGAGTAAAGTCCCAGCAACCCCTCCCTTGGTTTTCAGAGGACAGCCAGCAGGATAGTATATAATACAATGACCTCACACTGCCATCTGACATAGTAGAAGGTAAGATTTGGACTAAAAAATATTTTAGTTTTAAAAATTTTATTTGCAGCCCAGTATTATGATACTGTAGATTTCAGGTGTATGAAAAGTGAATATTGTCTGAAATCAATTTTTTTCATTGAGATGTTAGCACAAAAGTTCACAGAATTCTTGGGAATTAATAATGAGGAAAAAGGTTTGTATGTTACCATTTTTATTTTATGTACTGCATTTTATGAGTTATTTCATAGTTACTGTGTTAGGAAAAGTACATATCAGAATTAATGTTCTGTTATAAAGAACTGTATGCAGGAAAGTGTATTTTCAGCAACTAGCAAAAGATTACAGGTTTTCGTAGTTGCGTGAACCCAACACTCTATTTCCCATAAGGTCAATATAACAACATTCACATTTTTACTTTTGTGCTATTTTCTAGGAACATTACCCCCATGAAAGTTGAGGTCTGACCATAGTACCTTTCCCATGATTCAAATCATCTAAGGGATATAATATAAGTTACTAGGGGAAAGGAATTATTTCATTTTTTCTGTTATCTGGCTCCTAGCATAGTACATGACATATATTAAGTGCTTAATAAATGCTTGTTGATTAACTGGTTAATGTGACATAGATTACTGGAACACTGATTGGAGAGCTATCAAATACCCTAATTTAAAAAACTATCTTTCTTTAATGTATATAGAATAACGTACATGAGAGTAAAAGTGTTACATAATTACTTTAAAATTACTAGTTATGCACAGTAGTAGTAGTATCCACACTCAACCAATGGGAAAAGTAAGACAAAGAAATAACTTATTCTAAGATCATAAAGAAAATGACAGATTAAGGACTCATATCCCAGTTCCCCCTATATGTCCTTCTGTACTATAATACACTGCTTTGTTTTGGGGTGCTTTTAAAAACTGATGACCCCATAGTTTGCTTCGTAGGGGAGGAAGAGAAGAATATATTCAAAAACAAATGTGATATAACAACAAAAGATATCAACAAGTTTTATTTACTTTTTTAAAAACTTAATCATCCTAGGCACCTCAAACCTAAATCTTGATAAACGTTACTTGAGTTAAATGATTTTTTAAAATTCCAATTACAAGAGGCAGCTAGGCAGTGAAGTGGATAGAGCATTGGCTCTGAAGTCAGGAGGACCTGAGTTCAAATCCTGCTTCAGACACTTGACACTTACTAGCTGCCAGCTGTGTGACCCTGGGCCTTAACCCTGATTGCCTTACCAAAAAAAAAAAAATTCCAATTACAGAAGACACATCTCTATTACCTAGGAAGCAACAGTAAAATATGCTTGGGACTAAGAAAAATTCTAGTAAAAGATACCAAAAGAAATTTCAGCATTCCAAGAGACTACGAGAACCCTTCCGAACATGCTCTACTGAAATTAAGATATCTCTATTTTTGCCTTAATAGAGTGGGTTAAAAAGTCAATATCAGTGTGGCAATTGTGGTATTCTTAGACTATTCTTCAAGTTCCAGTTTTTATAGTTTGTCATTTCAGACACATCAAGTATCTCACCCATCCTCAGACTTGGAGCAGCAACCAGCAACCCTGCCTCCCCAAAAATAAACCTATCTGTACAGTTGAAAAGAAGTGTATCAGAAAGGGATATTTCATTCTATTTTGCATACTATGAGCACCATCATATCACCAGTATTCTAAATTCTCATGATTACTGATCTGTAAGAAATGACTGAACCTAGCGACACATTTTTGAGAACTGGGCTGCTCTAACATCTTGTTTTACAATATGTGCCTGCAATACTGTCACACAAATAGCCCATAATTATTGAATCACTACAGCTAAACAAAGAAATCTTTTCCAAATCCAAGTGTCAAATACATTTTTGTGAAGTTTCCCTACTATTTATCGGTGCTATCATGAGGAGAAAAGACTTGGAAAGACTGAAATACTTTATTCTGAATTTTTACCCAAGCCTCTCTGTCACCCTCCTTGTGGGTGGTGACTGACAGAAAAGGCAGAAATATGCAGCTTAAAAAGAAGAAACAGAAACATCACAAGGTTCAAAGTGTTAGTGTAACAGCGTCAGTTTGTCATTTTTAAAGGGCATATACCCCTATCTAGAAGCATCTCATTCAAGTGTACCAAAATGCCCTCCTCCCCAGAACTTGGAACCATTTCAACAAGAAGAGGTAACCACAGCAGCAGTGGTGATAGTGGAGGTAGTAGTCATAGTATGTCTACTTTTTTATGTTAAAAATAACACATTTATATAGAGCTTTCCCCAATTCATATAAATTACCTCAAAAACCCAATGAAGCAGGCAAGTATCATCACACTATACAGATGTGGAAAACAGATTCAGATCCTTAATGAAGTCTACACAGCCATTAAGTGCTTATCTTTACCCCAACATCCCTTCCCTGCTCAAGGACCCAAAATAACCTCCTATTGCCTTTCAGATCAAACATAAATACATTCATTCCACAAGCATTTATTAAGTACCTACTGTTGTGACAGGCAAAGAGAATACAAAAGCAAAATTGAAAACAATCCCTACTCTGAAGGAGCATTGAGGAAAAACAGTATGGAAAAACTCCAATGGGGAAAATAATACGAACAAAGGTAAATAAGAACAAAGGAACACACAAAGCAAATGCAAACTAACTTCCTGGGGAGAGAAAAGTATCATGGGGAAAATCAGGATAGGTATCCCACATGCTGACACAAGTGATACAAGTTGAGCTTTAAAATAGTCAAGGATTCTAGAAATCAGAGCTAAAGAAGGAGTACATTTCTGGCATGGGGGACAGCCTGTGCAAAGGGATGGAAATAGGAGATGGGAGTTTCCAGTATGGGGAACAGCAAGCAGGTTTGTTTGGTTACATTATACAGGGGGTAAAAAAAAGGAATATACAACAAGGCTGAAAAAAATGGGTTGGGGCCAGGTTGCAAATGGTCTATCCAAATGCCAAACAAATTACAAGTTGGTATTTTTCCTGGAGGCAACTGAGAGCCACTGGAAATTCTTGAGCATGAGAATGACATGGGAATACATGAACCTGAGGAACATCCTTTTGGCAGCTATATAAAGGACAGACTGGAAAGGGAGAGATTAAGCCCCCCAGGCCCAAACTAGCTATCACACCTAACCTATGTTATCCTTCCAAAGGTAAAACAAGTAACAAGGGAACTACTGTTTAGTACCTGACTGTCTTACCAACAAAGAACTCTGCTGAAGTAGAAATTGTAAGAACCTTTGAGGGGAAACGATTACCTCATTTTAGATATTTGTTAAAGGAGAAAAAAGTGGGACACAGTCTGACAAACATCCTGTGCTTTTGGAGAACCGATGTCAAGAAATTAGAGACAAGATAAGTAAGACCCTATGGCCCAAAATTCCACACAGAAAGTTACTCCAGGAGAGCTGAGTTCTCAGAAATGATTTTGGGGTTTTTTTGTGGGGGAAAAGAGTAGGAGGGAAGGGAGGAAATGGATTTCTATATCTTACTCAAGCTGAAACTACAGCAGCTACTCATGGGCCTCATCCCAATGCAGATCAACAAGGATGCTTTAACTTTCCAATCTGAACTGTTTCAGCCCTCCTTTGGGGGCCTAGTGGCCCTCCCCGCCAAAAGGCTCACCATACTGGTGCTAGACTCAGTGTAGACACCTGATTGGCTTTAATCCTACTTTAGCTTAGAACTCCTAAGGGATCCATTAGCCCTGGCCTCCCCAGCAACAAAGACCACCATACCCAAACAAGGATGAAATTCTAAAAATAAAAACCACTTCAGTGAGGAAGAAGAGGAAGAGCTGTTTAAAGAGATCAATGTGAATACATAAGGAACTCACTGACCAATTTAGATTTTTAGAAGATACATACAGAAAATGGAATCAAGGACAAGTAACTAAGGATGACAAAAACAGCAGACATGGAACTGAAATCCAAAACATGC